GGGGGCGCGCGGGGCGGCCAGGCCGCAAGGCAGCCTCTGGCAACGAGCGCGAGGCGGCGTCGCAGGCGCACCCAAGGGAAGAGCCGGCAGCCGCAGCGCAGGGCCTCAAACGCTCCCCCATCTGCCCCACTAGGCCCTTCGAAAGGATCTCCGACCTCACTGGACGTCGTTTCTCCTCTGGGGGTCGGCGGCGTGGCGCAAGCCACTTGATCAGGCCCATGTATGGCCCAAGAGGCTCCCAAGACGGCCCCAAGACCGCCACAAGATGCGGTAATAAGCGCTTCTGAACGGGGAGGGAGCCTCTTTTTGATCGACGCCCTCCAATGTGGCCCCAAGAGGCCCCCAAGCCGCGATGACCCCAGGCTCCCTCACAAACCCCACTTCCCCCACGATCCCATGAAGACAGATGAGATCCACTTCCCTGAGTAATCCAGCTCACCAGGGCACAATTTTGGATGGGCGAATAAAAATACTTGTTCGGTCGCGGCCGCGAAACAAAGGTCATACGGCGAGAAGCAAAGTCCGGGACGCGAGCGAGGCTAACTAGCTACAGCAGGCACAGGCCGGCCGGCCCGCTTACAAAGCAGCCGCGAAGCGGAAGGGGAGCTGACTGCGGGGGTATCCTGCGAGCTCGAGCGCGTGCACAGACAAAATGTCATGGAATTCAGCCTGCCACAGTATGAGACGTGAACCAGGATAACCAAACCCGTCAATCTGAGTGGAGGCGCGACCCACACAGCAGTAACGTGAACCAGGATGGTCAAGTCCGTCGTGCTGAGTGGGAGCAAGTGGGAGGCCATTGGAGTGAGTCGCCAGTGGGGCGCCAGGCTCCACACGCCCGGACGATGAACTAGCCAGAAAGGCTGAGCTGTCGTGAGCCGTGGTGCGAATAAAAATACGCGGAGCGTCAAGACATGCTATGCCAATTGCGGAATCCGCCGACCCCTTGTGGGTCTCTAGGCGTGTGAGATAGTTCCCCCCCCCCCATCATCCCCCCCCCAGGGACCCCAAACCGGAGATTCGACCCCCCCCCCGGCCGAGTACGAGCGCATCACGGGGCTTTTTGGGGCCCACAAGGGCCGCAAGACGGGCCCAGAAGGCTCCAAGAGGCCTCCGAGACGGTCCACGAGGGCCCCGAGACGCCAAACGAGCGCTCCAAGACGCCCAAGATGGCCCAAAAACGAGCCAAGAGGCCTCCAAGACGGCCCAAGAGGTCCCCACGAGGCCCCAAGAGGCCTCCAAGATGCGTCCCAAGAGGGTCCCTGGACGCAACAATTGGCCCATTCCCTTTGGTAATAATATAATCCCACCAGCCCTTTGGGCGTGAGTGGTTTAGAGAGCCCGTTCTGTCCTCAACCCCCCTTCTTCCCCTTCGGGGAGGGGTTTACCCCTCCCCCTACCCCCTCCCCCTGGGCCTGGACAGGGGGTCCGGGGTGGTGGCAGGGGGGTCTTTTTCGACTCCTGGGAGGGCTAAAAAACGACGACCCTCACGAGGATTCTGGCCCCGACGGGGGGGCCGAGTTTGGCCCCTCTGCTCTTCTTTGAAGCCAACATCATTGATTTTACTAGGGTTTTGGGCCCAGCTTGGGCTTCTGAGGGGGCAGCGCTCATCGTCCTTCATAGCAAAATCATTGATTTTACGAAGGTTTTGGGTTCATGTTGTCCTTCTCACGGGGCAGCGCTCACTTGCGCTTCTGAGGAGGTCGCAAGAGGCCCCAAGATGGCCCAAGAGGCCCCCAGGAGGCTCCCAAGAGGCCTCCAAGAGGCCCCCAAGAGGCCCCCAAGAGGCCCCAAGAGGCCCCCAAGAGGCCCCCAAGAGGCCCCAAGAGGCCCCCAGAAGAGGCCCCCAAGAGGCCCCCAAGAGGCCCCCAAGAGGCCCCCAAGAGGCCCCAAGAGGCTCCAAGAGGCCCCCAAGAGGCCCCACGAGGAGCCCGAACGACTCACACCAGGACGAGGGGCCCGAACGACTCACACCACGAAGAGCCCGAACGACTCACACCACAAGGAGGGGCCCGAACGACTCACACCAGGACGAGGCGCCCGAACGACTCACACCACGAGGAGCCCGAACGACTCACACCACGACGCGGGCCCCGAACGACTCACACCACGAGGAGCCCGAACGAGTCACACCAGGAGGAGGGGCCCGAACGACTCACACCAGGACGAGGGGCCCGAACAACTCACACCACGAGAAGCCCGAACGACTCACACCAGGACGAAGAGCCCGAACGACTCACACCACGAAGAGCCCGAACGACTCACACCAGGAAGAAGGGCCCGAACGACTCACACCAGGACGAGAAACCCCAAACGACTCAAACCACGAGGAAGCGCTTTCTCTCCCTCCTCCTCCGCCTCGTCCTTCTCCCGCTCCCCCCACAAGGAGGATGTACAAGGAGGCGGGAGGAAGGAGGAACAGGGGAGATATGCGGGGCCAAGCGGACACACGCCTGAAAAACACGACTGTCGGCATGCTTCGCAAGAGTTGCTGCTGTGAGATGGACTGGTGGGGATACGCGAAGCGTAAAGAATTTACACACATTCGCCTTCTGGGCGTTCCGACGCTCCAAGACGGCCCAAGTGGCCCCGAAGACCGCCCCAAGACGGCCCAAGAAACCTCCAAGAGGGTCCCAAGATAGCCCAAGAGGGCCCCAAGACGGCCCAGCAGGCGTCCAAGACGGCCCAAGAGGGCCCTCCAAGAGAGCGCAATATGGTCCCAGGCGGTCCACGAGCGATCAAAGACACCGAAGATGGCCTCCTGACGGCCCAAGATGCCCCCAAGAGGCCCACAGAGGCATCCAAGATGCGTCCCAAGAGGGCCTCTAGACGCACAAATTAGCACGTTCCCTTCGTAAAACGTGCGTTTTTGTTCACGATTTCGCCTTTTGGGCTTTCCGACGCTCCCAGACGGCCCAAGAGGCCCCCAAGACCGCCCCAAGACGGCCCAAGAAGCCTCCAACAGGGTCCCAAGACAACCCAAGAAGGCGCCAAGACGGCTCAAGAGGCGCCGAAGACGGCCCAAAAGAGCCCCGAAGACGGCCCCAAGAGCGCTCCAGGAACGTTCCAAGTGGCTTCCAAGAGAGCTCAACATGGACCCACACGGCCCAAGAGCGATCGAAGACACCCGAAATGGCCTCCAGATGGCCCAAGACGCCCCCAAGAGGCCTCCAAGATGCGTCCCAACAGGGTCCCTGGACGGAAAAAAATTGCTTATTCCCATCGTAAAACGTACAATGTTCACAAGTTCGCCTTGTGGGCTTTCCGACGCTCCAAGACGGCCCAAGAGGCCCCGAAGACCGCCCCAAGACGGCCCAAGGGGCCCCCAAGACGGCCCCGCGACGGTCCAAAATGGCCCCAAGACGGCCCAAGAGGTCCCCAAGACGGCCCAAGAAGGCTCCAAGACGGCACCAAGAGGGGCCCAAGAGGGCAACCAAGAAATCAAAAATCTAGCTTTCCGCCCCCGCGAGCCCCAGGGGGCCCAAGAGTGCCCCAAGAGGCCGCCAGAGGCCCCCAAGAGGCCGCCAAGACGCCCCAAGGAGCCCACAAGAAGCCCCCAGGAGGCCCCCAAAAGACCCCCAGACGCTTCCATATTGCGAGCCGTTACGCCAATTGCAATGCACTCCGCGCATACAGCCTTGCTCTTCCTCGCGACGTGCTCAGTATCTTGCTCGGCGCTAATGTGCTGCTGCCGCGCGAACTGTTTCGTGCGCGCTGCGAACGTCAACAGCCTCTTCACCCGTTTCGACTCATCTGCCACATCTTTCGTGGCGATGCCTCGCTGATCACAGCTTCCGCACACTACTCTTGCTCCTTTCCTCTCCCGGTGGTCCTCCATTTGGTTGCGGGTCGAAAGGCCGACCTCCCAGAAGGACACCCCGCACCCAGGTGCACAGCACGCAAAGCGCTGGCAAAACACGCCCCAGACCACCGGCATCACGCAAACATTTGGGCCCCCTACGTATCTGCCACCACCCGCGCGCGACACCGCACCCTCACACAAGACGCCGCTGGCCAGAAACTCCTGGCCTCGCAACACTCACAGAAGGGGTCGGCGGATGTGGCGTAAGCCTGTAGAATAAACAACAACCACTTGCACATCCCTTACCCCCTAGATCCGCTATCGTTGTGAAGTCATGGCCCTCGTTGCCTGCATTTGAAAACCCCTCCTCGGTGTCTCTCCTGCTCATGCTCATCGTTTCCCACTCCGTGTCATTGCTCTCTGATTATGCCATACATGGTGTTGCGCCTGCTCGTTGTTCGAAGTGATCCTGGCCACCATTGCTTCACCTTGCTCCTAAGGCCCTTTGCGCCTGCCCCTTCGCATGTTCCTCGCTGTTCCTGACTGTTGTTCCTTGCTTGTTGTCCGTGCTCATTCATGATTGTATATTGGTCCCAGCCCTCATGCTGCAGCGTGCCTCCTCGTTCCCATCCTGATCATCATCTTCGTCGCCGTCGACCTCTTGCTCCTGCCCCCTTCCAGTCCTCGTCCCCCCCCCTCCACCTCTCTTCTTCAAAGTCAACGCCTCCCTGTCGCACCCGCTCCTCCTCCATCCGCCTCGTTCTCTCCTCCTCCCCCTCTTCCTCCTCCTCGTCCTCCTCCTCCTCTCTCCCCCTCCTCCTCCTCCTCCTCCTCCTCCCTCCTCCCGCTCCTCCTCCTCCTCCTCTCCTCTTCCTCCTCCTCCTCCTCCTCCTCCTCCTCCTCCTCCTCCTCCTCTCCTCCTCCTCCTCCTCCTCCTCCTCCTCCTCCTCCTCCTCCTCCCCCTCTCCTCCTCCTCCTCCTCCTCCTCCTCCTCCTCCCCTCCTCCTCCTCCTCCTCTCTCCTCCTCCTCCCTCCTCCTCCTCCTCCTCTCCTCCTCCTCCTCCTCCTCCTCCTCCTCCTCCTCCTCCTCCTCCTCCTCCTCCTCCTCCCCCTCCCCTGACGGAGGCACCGGGAACATAGCCACATCGCCATGACGATGCCGACTGCAACACCGACCCTGTCGTCGCCAAGCGGGCGCCTGCTGCTCCCGGCTGGCCTCTCGGGGCTCCCCGTCGGACTCGCCGGGCCCCTCTGCGGCGGCGGCCCAGGGTGGCCTCTGGCGTGAAGGGCCCGCGCCCACGCTCACGGGCACGCATGAACGTTCCCTCGGACACGCCAGTGCGTTGCAGCCAGCGGTGAAAATCAAGCATGGACATTGTCAACCGCGCAGACGCACTCTCAATCGCACCCCCCCTGCGCCTCATCCGCCCCGCGGCCCCTGCCTCCCACCGTCCGTAGACGTAAACAGAATGCTGTTCATGCTGCTGTGCCTCCTCGTCATGCCCCTCATTATCCCTCAGACGACGTCTCCTCATACTTCTCCTGCCCTTCCTCCTCTTCCTCCTTCATATCCTCCTCATTGTGTCCTCTTTTCGCATCTGCCTCCTTTCTGGTGAGCGCTTTTCGAGGCTTGGGTTTGGGGTGACATGGCACGGCGGACCCCACGATCCGACCTGCCACTCTTCACCGTTCCTCTCGCCGTCGCCCGCAAGACCAATAGGAGGGTGACGGCGACGACGACAACGACGAAATTGAACTGGCCCAAGGACACACAAATACACAAACACACATCCAAGGATTCCCCGTGTTCCGTTATTTCGGGGTGTTCGTTCTCCCCACCGCTGCCCATCTCCATCTCTTCCTGGGAATCGACGATTAATTGTGTCCGTGTTGTTTTCCCAACCATTTTGTGGTGTTGGGTCCTCGTTTTGAAATAACGGTCCCCGCGTTCTCCTCCTCCTCCTCCTCCCCCTCCTCCCTCCTCCTCCCTCTTCCTCCCTCTTCCCACTTCTCCCTGCGTTTCACCCACCCACCAATACAGCGCTTCGTGGCCTTATAGGGAGCCTCACCGAAGATCCTCAAACTACCGTCCGCCTGCGTCACCCCCACCCAATACAGCGTTTCGTGGCCCTCCTTGCGCTTCACCCACTCAGTACAACGCTTCGTGGCCCCATAGGGAACCCCACCGAAGGTACCAGTGCTACCGTCCGCACGCGTCCCGCGCCATAGGGAACCCCCCCGAATGTCCCACTACCGTCCGCACACAGTACAGCGATTCGTGGCCCCGTAGGGAACTCCACTGAACCCCGGTGGGACCGTCCGCGTGCGTCCCGAAAACCCAATGTGGCATTCTCACCCACCCAATACGGCGCCTCGTGGCCCCTCAAGGAGATCCGCCGAAGGACCCCATGCCACCGTCCGCATGCGTCCCGAAAACCCAATGTGGCATTTTCACCCACCCAAAACACATTTCGGGGGCCCATAGGGAACTCCACCGAAAGCCCCACTGGGACCGTCCGCAAGCGTCCCGAAACACCAAATGTGGCATCTTCACACACACACACACACACACACACACACACACACACACACACACACACACACACACACACACACACACACACACACGCACACACACACACACCACGTACAACGCTTCGTGGCCCAATAAGGAGCTCCACCGAAAGCCCCAGTTCCACCGTCCGCAACCGTCCCGAAAAAAAACAATGTGGCATTTTCACCCGACCAGTACAGCGCTTCGTGGCCCCATATGGAGCTCCACCGAAGGCCCCCTAGCCATGCGTTCCGAAAACCTAATGTGGCATTTTCGCCCACCCAGAACAACGCTTCGTGGCCCCATATGGAGCGCCACCGAAGCCCCCAGTGGGACCGTCCGTATGCGGCCCGGAAACTCAATTTTGCATTTTGACCTACCAAGTACAGCGCTTCGTGGCCCCATAGGGAGCTCCACCGAAGCCCCCAGTGGGACCGTCCGCATGCGCCCCGGAAGTCCAATTTGGCACACCACCCACCCAGTACAGCGCCGCCCCCCCGTCCAGTGCAGCGCTTCGTGGCCCCATAGGGAGTTCCACCGAAGAAGATATTCACAATTGCGGTACCCATAACTGCTTATGGTTGGGTCCTTCGCCAAGATAATTCCTCCCTGGGAAGTGAGCAGCAGCAGCTGCAGCGCGGCGGCGGCGGATCAGCATGTGGTCAAAATCTCGTTAGAGCAAATTGGATGACCGCTGGACGCACTAGAGCTCCCCCTGGCGCTGTCAGGATCGAGTGCCCCCCCCCCCCCCCAGCAAGCTCAAAACCCCGCCATGGGGACTCCACTCGGTATGTAACGGGTCGAGAAGCCGTTGCCCAGGAGGACTGTCAGGAGGGGGGGGCCCGAGGAGGGGGCAGGCGGGTCGAGGACGAGCAGGAGGGGGAGGATATGCAGATATGCTGGCGGAAGGGAGGAGCAGCAGCAGGAGGCTGAGGGAGAGAGGAGGGGGGGGGCAAGGGAGAAGAAATTCCTCCTCCTCCTCCTCCTCCTCCTCCTCCTCCTCCGTCAATGCAGCAGCCCACCCCCCTGCCACCGTCAATGCAACAGCCCTCCCCTCCGCCAATGTAGCATCCCACTTTCCTCCTCCTCCTCCTCCTCCACCCCCCTCGGCCTCCTCCTCCTCCTCCGTCATTGCAGCAGCAGCAGGGGGTTGAGGAAGGGAGGATCGGCGGCGAGCGAGGGGGGAATGAGAAGGGGCGGCCCTTCTTAGAAGGCTCGGAAGTCCCACGGCCTTCTGAAAAGTTTTCGAAGCCTCCTCCGAGGACACACATTACCATGTGACGTACCCAATCCATTCTATACATGTGGCGAGTATACAAAGGACAACTCAATGCTGACTGGCATTCTGGAGGACCCGCAGTGCCTCCCAAGAGCCCACGAAAGTGGCGACAGTTGCGCAGATCGCAAGCCCCCCATGGGGGCGGCGAGGTCCCGAGGTGGTCCGCGTATGACGTGCCTTCGCTGGGCCTCCCAGGAGCCCACGAAAGTGGCGACAGTTGCGCAGATCGCAAGCCCCCCATGGGGGCGGCGAGGTCCCGAGGTGGTCCACGTGGGACCCACCTGGGCCTCCCAGGAGCCCACGAAAGTGGCGGCAGTTGCGCAGATCGCGAGCCCCCCATGGGGGCGGCGAGGTCCCGAGGTGGTCCGCGTGGGACCCACCTCCGCTGGGTCTCCAAGGAGCCCACGAAAGTGGCGGCAGTTGCGCAGATCGCAAACGGCACGAGAGAAGAGGAGAAGGGAACACAGGAAACATGAGAGAAGGAGGAGAGGAGGAGAGGAGAAGGAGGAGAGGAGGTGGAGACCACTGTTCTGTATTCAAAACGAGTACCGAACACAGGAGGGTTGGAGAAAACCGTTCAGAAGGCTGGAGGCCTTCTGAGAAGCCCCGCCCGCCTTCTGTGAAGGCATTCTCCTTCTCACTTCCCTCCCTCTCGGCGCCGAAGGGTGGAGGGAGGGGGCGACAGGGGGGAAGTACAGTCGGACTTGATTGGAGAGGACACGCGAGAGGACACAAGACCTTTCGGAGGGCCACGTTGTCATAGGAATGCAGAAGGCATGGGCCGCGAAACACAGGACACAAGGGTACCCTCGATTTGGCGGGGTCGACCTACCAATCAGGGCCGACTATAATCAGCAATGATGCGCGGAGTTGGGGAGGATGGGGCAGAGAGGAGGGCGCGAAACAGCGGCAGCACTGGGAGGCCGACGAGGAAGATCAGATGCAGCACCAAGACGAGGCAGCAGAGGAGAGGGGGGTGGGGCACGACGGAAAGAAGAGGGGGGCAACGGAATGGCGAGGTAACGCGCCCGGCGCGCCTGCCGCGGACGTCTCCTGGAGTAGCCGGGCTGGCGCTGCGAGCAGGCCGCACAGCCGCAGCTCCTCCTCAAAGGGGGGCGATGAGGAGGAGGATTAGGACTGGGAGCCGGGTAACCGCGACGATGAGCAGAACAACGAGCCGACCCCAGAACCCCGCAAGAGGCCTCGAAGAGGCTCCCAGGAAGCTCCCAGGTGACTCCAAGAGTGCCCCAATAAGCTCCTTAGAAATCTACTCCTCCTCATTATCTTCAGCCTCATTCGCCTCCTCTTCCCCTTCCTTCTCCTGCTCCTGCTCCTGCTCCTGCTCCTCCTCCTCTCAATTGTTCCTCCCTCTCTTCCTGTTCTCCTTTCTTCCCCGCGTGTGCCCCGAAGGTTTCCAGACTGGCTTGGGGAGCACATGGTCCGACAGCTTGGCAGAGCTCTGGCAACAAGCCACATGTGCGATTCCAAAAGGCAGGGGGGCTGCAGTGCTGCGCCATAGGCATCTTCGATCCAGAGGAGTATCGGAACCAATTGGCGGCCTCGGACCGAGCACCCCCATGTCGTACAACAACCACCCCAGATCACTGTTCATTCGCTGCTGGAGGGCCTCTCGGGCGTCTTGTTTGGATTGTCTTCAGGCGTCTGGGGGTGCATGGGCTCGCTCTAGGCTCTGGCGGGGCCATCTGACCGCTCTCCTGACCCCTCTGGGCCAATCTGGGGGCCCTGCAAGGACATCCAAGATGCCCAGCAAGGCCGAAGAGACGTCCTGCAATGGCGTCCAGGTGGCCCCGGGAATGCCGGTATTTCGTCTGGGAGGGTGCGGGGCCCCGTCATTTAAAATTCATGTCGAAACCAATGAAATGATGCCTCGGGCGGGACCACGATGTAGAAAAGTGGCCACCCTCCTTCTGTGTAGCTGTGTCTGCGCTGAAGCTTTGCGAGCGCACGACAAAACGACGTCTCAAGCGAAAACCACACATATTCAAAAACCGTCTGCCCTCCATCCATGAAGTTGTTGGACACTTGTTCAACGGCTGCGCGCGATCCAGAGGCGAGAACAAGATTTGGAAAACGGCCCGCCCCAATGGACTGTCGGGCGTCTGGGGCACATCCAAATTGTTCGGGGGGGCACAAAGGTGGGGTTGGGGCAGAGGTGAGGTTGGAGGGAAAAACGCTCCACACGGCCCCTGGAAGAAGGAAACGCGGTATACGGGAGCATCCAGCTGGGCCCGTTCCCCAGCCCCACCTTGGGATAACCCTCCCTCTGCGAACCCCCGAACTGTGGGGACGTGCCATCGTGGAGCGCCCAGCCCGCCCTACCTCACGCGCGTCGTGCTGCCGCGAGGAGGAATTGCACGCAAGGGACAATAGAGGCCTTCTGGATGGGGTCGGGGTAGGCAGGAGCAGGAGCAGGAGCAGGAGGAGGAGGGGGACGAGGAGGAGGAAGAGCAGGAGCAACAGCAGGAGCAAGAGCAGGAGACGAGGAGGTACTAGTTTTGTTCACCGCCAAGAGAAGACAAGGAGGAGAGGAAATGGAGGACCTGGGGGGCTCCCCCTCCTACTCCTCCTCCTCCTCCTCCTCCTCCTCCTCCTCCTCCCCATTCTCCTCCTCCTCCCTCCTCCCCTCCTCCTCCTCCTCCTCCTCCTCCTCCTCCTCCTCCTCCTCCTCCCTCCATTCCTTCTCATTATAGATACCTCCTCCCTGTTGCATCCCGAAGCAAGTTTTTAGGGCGGGCCGGGCGTTTCGCCTTAGACTTCCCCACCATTTACGACACTGAAGCTTTAAAAGTGACACCAGCTTCACAGATGGAAGGCGGTTTCAACATGTGGTTCTCGCCTTAGCGCCACGCACATTCGATATAAACAAGTTGCAAGAGCTTCACTGATTGAGGGCGGGTCGTTTTCAAAATGTGGTTATCGCCCCAGCGCCGCGCACATTCGATTCAACATATTGCAGGAGCTTCACGGATTGAGGGCGGGTCGTGTTCAAAATGTGGCTCTCGCCCTAGCGCCACGCACATGTGCATTGAATATTTGCAAGAGCTTCACGGATTGAAGGCGGGTGGTTTTCAAAATGTGGCTCTCGCCCTAGCGCCGCGCACGGATTGAGGGCGGGTCGTTTTCAATGTGTAGCTCTCGCCTTAGCGCCGCGCACATGTTTTAAAAGGTTTGCAAGAGTTTCACGGATTGAGGGCGGGTGGTTTTCAAAATGTGGCTCTCGCCCCAACGCCGCGCACATTCTTTCTCAAGGTTTGCAAGAAGTTTCACGGGTTCCCATGATCGGAGTCCCAGAAACTGTGTTTTGGAAGGATTCAGGATTAAGCGGACGCAACAGTTATGTTGACTCGCAGTGTTGAAGTCCCAGAAGTGGCGTTCTGGCACGATTCTGGATCGTCAAGACGCAGCAGTTAGGTTGATACGTGGCGTTGAAATCTCGAGATCAATGTTTTGGCACGCTTCAGGATATTCAAACTGTTGTCTTCCAGCGAGGCAGTTCTCTCAATGGAAATGAACCGCTGTAGGGGCCTATGAAGAGGAAGCTTGGAGGGAGGGTCAATTCCAACATCGTTAATGACTCTTGGCTTTCCACTGGCCCTCCTCCTCCTCTTCCTCCTCCTCCTCCTGCTCCTCCTCCTCCTCCCTCCTCCTCCCTCCTCCTCCTCAATCGACGACGACGGCGGCGAAGGGCGCCGCGCGGCGCGTCCAAGCGCTGGAGCCCCAAAGTACAAGCTAACCGCAAGGCCTCCGACCGCGCGTCTTCCGGGAGGTCCGCCACGAGGCCCGCGAGGCTCTGGTCCTCTGGGCGGCGGGGAAGGCCGTCGCTGTCCTGGACGCCGCCATGCACGTCGCGGTCGTCGAAATAGTCGTCGAAGTGGTCGTCGAAGGAGGGGGACGGGGGAGGGGGGAAGGGAGAGGAGGCGGGAGGAGGGAGGAGGAGGGAGGAGGGGGAAGGGGGAGGAGGAGGGAGGAGGAGACTGAGGGAAGGGCGGAAGAGGCAAGCCAGGTGCGCTCGCGCCATACCTGACATCCTACCCTTCCCACCCATCCCTTCCCATTGTGCTGTTGTTTTCCCTATCCGCCGACGCGTGTCATAGGATACCTGGAACTCCGAAGGGGACCTCATCGAGTTATGCGCAATTCGAAAAAAAACACCTGCGCACATTGAAGGAGATGGCGGATGAGCAGGAGGATGAGCAGGAGGAACAGGAGGAGGATGTGGAAGATGGACGCGGACGACAAGCAGCAGCAGGGGCTGGAGGGGCAGAAGCAGGAAGATCAGGATGACCAGGGGAAGTCGGAGGAGGGGACATGAGGGGGGGAGACAACGATGGACAAAGGATCCAGAAAAGTGGTCCGCGCTAGGGCGAGGGCGCCGTCCTGAACGATGGGGGGGTAAACCGCCGATCCGAAAGTCAGGCCCACGGTGCAGCGGGAGCGCCATCTTGAAACAAAGCAGGCCAGTCGGGTCATAAACAAGCCATAGGCAAGATCACATGTGCTCCATCCTGTGCGAAACCATACGCAGAGAGGGCGGGACATCGTCCAGGCAGAATCAGGGGAGAGAGGGGGCAACAGTATTCACACCAAGCTAGGTGCGCTCGCGCCATATTTGATATCCTAACCTTCCACCCATCCCTTCCCGGTGCGCTGGTTTTCCCCTATCCGCCGACGCGTGTCATAGGAGAACAAGAACTCTAAGGAGGGCCCCAAATGCATGATGCACAATCGGGAAACGGCAGCTTCGTAGATTGGTGGATGTGGCGGAGGAGCAGGAGCAAAAAGATGAAGATAAGGAAGGAGGGGGACGAGGACGAACATCAACAAGAACTGGAGTGGAAGAAGAG